AAGGAGTCAGTGCCAGCAGGTGTCAAAGTGGAGACCTCTGCGCCAGCAGGTGCCGTGCAGCCCCTGAAAGCCGTGAAGAACGAGCCAGGTGTGAAGCCAGACCGGGAGAACGAGACCGAAGAGGATCGCAGAGCCCGAGAGGCCCACAACTCCTACATGCGGTACTATCGCAGCTTGCGTCCTCTGGCTGTATATATGTGAAGATAATCCTGTATTATAAAATAGTAGTATAGGTAAAATAATCGTTTATAAACATAGGTACCTCCTATATGTACTACAAACGTTTTACTTTCGGTTCCCTTGACTTACCAATCCCAGGCTCACCCAATTGTCCGGCGGAGGTGCGGGCGAAGGCTCTTTTGCCGAACGGCCAGAAGCGGTCCACCTCGGTTATGCGCCACATGTATGAGATGTGGATTAGCTGCGACTGCGATTGGATGCAAAGTTCCATTGTGCTCAATGCAAAGAAGTCCAACAGGACGAAGAGGACCGGCAAACACGTTTGGAAGCGCTTCGATGCACTGAAGAGCGAGCTACCCATCAGCAATAAATAGCCTAGCCCCTATATAAAGCTATAAACCCTTTTGCTTTAAATCCGTATGTTATTTTTGGTTCCCTCAGTGCCTAGAACCCTAAACCCTCAACCTTTAGGGTTTCCGGTTTAGGGCTTTAGGGTTTAGGTGAATTAATCTTGGTTCGAACATAATATACCCCAAGCCTTCGAGGCATGGAGTTGCTATCGCGGATGACATTCGTGCTTCCAAGAAGGCCCTGGACCCCAGCGGCCAAGGCCGTTGGTGGAAGGTTCATCCCGACCAACCGAAGAACGAGGTGGGCCAACAATCCAAAGACCCACACACCAATTCGTTAGATGTGCCGACCCCAAACCCAGAACCCTATTAACTACATCTCTTATAATCTTGAATCCTAAACCCAAAAATCCTAAACCCTGAGGCCCAAACCGAGGCCCTAAACCCCAAAGCCTAAACCCGAAACCCTAATCCAACCCTAGAAACCCTAAGATCATTAATGCCTTCAACCCTAGACACTAATCCCTATAAACACCCTCCACTGAATCGTTCAATCTCCCTTTTTAATAGATTCTAGATAATTTAACACTAGCGATGAAATCAAGTGCTTTATCGTGGGGTCAACCAGGACTGGGAGCTTTTCAAGTGCTTCGACTCCCGAGAGGAGGTTTCGGAGTCGGAGGATGAGCTCGAGTTCGGGGTACATGCCGACGTTGGCTTGGACCATGAGGGTACCACGGGTGTGTTGTGGCTTGGCTTTACTGGGTCAACTTTAAAGTGTTCCTAGTAGATCCTGCTAGATTGCATTCTATGAATTCGAAGGTCGGAGATTCTCGATGTCGGGACAAGCAGTGGTGCACGGGGAAGCAATGAGGCGGCCCTCCCGAATCCGAACAATGCGACGAACCATCTGCAGAACCCGAAGCCGAAGCGAGCCGCGAAGGCAAAGCCGGCAAAGCCTGCACCGCAAGAGGCTGTGGACTTGCTGGCGAAGGGCACGCAGCGCATCATCGAGGCAGACGGCGTGGAGAACATGCTGCGCACCGGCGGCATGCACCTTGGATCGTACCATTAATAATATAGCATAAAGTTAGCCAAAACACTCAAACCCATATTCGCCACAATAATTCGACTAGCTTATAAATCCCGTGCCCCTTATAGAATTAGGCGATACAATCAAAGGCTTGGGCCCGACCTTTTGTAGCTGCAGCTTTGGGATATCAGTACAAGGGTTCGGGGTTACAGGGCTTGAGGTCTTCGAATTTAGTGTTATCTATTTACGTAGTTAATGATAAGGGATTCCGGGTTCCATTCAAAGTAAGCTATATTATTTATAACTAATGTAGTGACTCGTGTTTATTTGGGTGGGTTGCTGGAGTGCTTATTTTTCGGCTTTCACTCATAGATACTGAGGGGCGATGCATTTGCAAAAGCTATGGTTGCCGACATGCAATCTGACATCAATAAGATGAAAAATCACCACGCGCGACTTCAGCAAGCGGCTACGAACAAGGTGGGTGACAAGGAGATGGAGAAGTTGAATGAGCAGCTCAAAGCGAGCTATGCCGTGTACGATGAGAAGATGAAATCGGTCAAGCGTGCACTTCGTCCGGCCCCGAAAGCAAAGGCCAAAGGAAAGGCCCAGGCCAAAGCAGCTGCCTGAAAAGGCAGATTTTAAACTTCCGGATCCGGCGGGGTGATGGCACCTCTGACTGTGGATGCTCTGTCGAACCTGTCTGCATAAGAGTTCCTCATGCATATTCTAGCCATGCATAACAAATTCTGGGGCTGCAGGCGGGCTAGAGCATCATGAGCAGTCGCAGGGTGCAATAGTTTTGATGTGCATCCGGATCATTTTCACTTGGCTGGGCTGATGTTATCGCGGACCGCTCTTGACCCACACGATGAAAAGACACCGGACTTCTGATTCCTTGGGCATTATATTGCAAATTCAAAACTCTCGAATTGATTCCTTCGCAGGTGTCCCTGGTGTTATTCGGAGCCGCTTGCTTGCGGGAGTCGGTGCAGGTGCAACTTGCTTGCATGTGATGAAATTACGGTGCTTGGCTGGAAGCAAAGCCTTAGATGATGTCGGCTTCAGACCCCAAAGTCACAGCCTTATCAAACCTGGAGTGTCTAAAGTCTAGCTGTAGATGCCTCGGATTTCTAGCAGCTCAAAATCCGACCCCGCGAAATTTATCCAATTGCAACTTTGACTGCCCCATAAAATAAGAGCCCTGAACTTGAATCCTGAAACCTGATCCTTAAACATAGCCCGAACCTCCTGCTGAAACATTTCACTAAACCCTAACTTATAAACGTCGTGAGCCACGGGCCCTATGGGTTTACCCCCAGTAACCTATACGTGCTCTTTTCGACTTCTGCCCCAAACCCCAACTCTCACTACTGTAGACCAGAACCCATAACCTTGCCCTTCCGAAGCCGTACACCAGGACTGGAGTGCATCGTCTGCACAGGAGCTGGCCGACTGTGTGGCAATAGATCCTTGGTATGCACACAAGCTCCACCATCACGTGGTCCAGGTAAATCTATTTATAAGGCTAGCTATGGTCCCAAGCGACCCGAGCAGATACGATGTATGTGAAATGAGATTTGAGCTTTCGGTATAGGGTCCTCGGTGTTACTTCGTCGGAGGCGTGGGAGCACAAGATCTTTGGGCCAGAGTTCTGCTCCATGACTAGTCCAAATACAAAATGATCCCAAACCCTTAAACTAGTCCAACTTCCAACCCTGACTCCCTCACCCTGATTTTGAATCCTGAATCCCTAACTAAATATAGCCTTGAACTTGTACCCCTAACCGAACCTCCTGAGTCTTTTGAACCCAAACACCCTCACCCTAAACCTAGCTAGCTAATCCCCAAACACGAGCTACCGATTCTGTCGTCGGCTTGAAGTGCATAGGCTGGTGATTTTTTGCTCGGGATCTTTTTTTGAGAAGGTTCGTGGTGACATTAAGTGTCTAGTTGGAATGTTATAACTTGAAAAACTTCGGGAGACTACTATAGTAGATCTTCGGCTCTTCTTTCTGTAGGCAGGCATACCCAACTGAATCCATCTTCAAGCCTCAAGCTGGTGGGCTTACTTACCCCCGAAGCCAAATCCTCCCAGCGCCGAAGCCAAACTAGACTCAATGCCTAAACCGCCCTAACCCTAAACCCAAATAGGAGCTTGGCTCAGCGACGCCGTCATCTGTGGAGCACCTCGCTTCATGTGGTGCGAGAGGAGTGTACCAGAACAATATATGGCGAGATGTTCGCTCACAGTGCAACACCACACCGAAGAACATAGGTGTTGCTTGGATGTCCCTAGTTGAATTATTGTTCGTTTCACAGGGCGACTAATTAGAAACTGTATGATACTTGTGAAAGTTTGCATGTTGGGTTTGTAAGGATCTGCCGGTGGACAGCATCAAGCTCACTGTGCGAGCACGACCCGATCCCAAGTTAAAATCTCAGGAGACAATTGACATGACTTTCCCGATCCTGGCCCCTCACCTGCTGACACACTGGTTGCTTGGGAAGGGAAAGATTAGCATCGACCGAGTTGCTTCAGAGTCTTTCTGGATGCACTTCAAGAAGCAGAAGGCTCCTTGGATGGAGGGGTTCGACTCAACGAACTTCGTACCGCTGGCCATATATGGTGATGAAGCGGAGTACACTATCACTAAAGAGAAAATCTTGGTCCTGTACATCAGCAACTTTGCAAGACGGTCTTGTTGGTGATCATTTGTGGTTATACTTACTCAAGGCTGTTCTAGTAAGAGGCCTAGGTATAGGTTCGGGTATAGGTGCCGGGGGCCTTTCATTTTGTAGTCTATTCTTGTGTAAGATGTATGGTATTACCTACAGTTATGCTAGATCTAGTGGAATGGCAGGCTTCCCGATGTTCCAGGGTTCGAAGACGGTCTTTGGCAGT